CCTTTTTTGGTGTTTTTTTTAGAGCCTGTTGGAGGGGAGGTGGTTCAGTTTGGAGCTTCGAAGATGTTGGAAATGTGGAGAAATTCCCGTGGATTTCGGAGTTCAGCGAGGCTCCCGGCAGGGGGAATGATCTGGCAAAGCTCCTGCCCTGCCGAGATTTTTCAAGCCGATACGGGCTGTTGCTGTAGAGACGAGCTGTGCGCGCTCTCCTCCAGAGGCCAGAAATCAGAAACATGTCCCTCCGTTCATTTTTTTTTTTGTTTTGGTCTTCCTTGCTTGTCGTTTCATGGAGATTCCTGGTGCATCTCCTCCGCGTTGTCTTAAATTCGTTTCGGCGGCGACGTGGGTTCTCTTCAAAAACTTTCAGGTGCTGCAGGGCTTTTCCCATTCATTGGGAAAGTGCAGTTTAATGCGGTTTTGTTACGGCTTTAGGGGGAAAAAACCCAAACCCTTAAAAAATAAGATTGTTAGTGCCTTCTGAAGCAGTGAACTGGAAGACGAAGGCAGGCTTTGACCTACCTTCTTCATTTTCCCCTTGGGATGAATTAAGAAATGGATTTAAGAGCAAGTGGCTCATGGCCGGGGCTGGTTTCTGAAGGGAAAGGTTGGGGACTGAGGGTTCTGCAGTGGCGGATTAGCTGCCCTGCGTGTAAGGGGGGTGCAAGCAGAGCCATGGGCTAAATAGGTTCTTTGCTGCTAATTTGGGAAAAGAGAAGTTAAAGACTTGTGCAATGTTTTTTTTCCACGGAGTTACGACATCCCCGCTTAGGTCAGCCTCGGCTTCTTGTGACGCAGCGCGATCCCTGCGTAGCCGTGCTAACTGGAGCAAGAAGGAAAGGTTTGCTTATCCTTTCGCAGCGAGAAACATCCCAGCAACGCTCCGAGTTTCACATTTTTTGAACCCAGGGTGATACAGTGTCATATTTCATAATTTCTTTTTATTTTTTTTTGACCTCTTTCTAGCTCCCTGCCTGCAAGCCCAGAGGCTTTGCCTGCAGAGTCCGTAAGAATTTCAGTGTAACTCTATCCCCACTCAGCATCTTCATCTCTACTGGATCAAAACCCCCTCTCTTTATACAAACCCTTTAAGGGCAGTCGGTAAAGGGAATGGTGGGTACATCTGCAGATGTTTAGGGCAGTTTGCAAGCATCAAAGAAAAGGAGTGAGACCTGGAGATGTTGAAGCTGGGACTGGAGAGTAAAGAGTAAAATGCAAACGGTCTGCGGTAGAGGGGGGAGAATAAGAATAAAAGTGCAGCCGTGAAGCGGGGAGTCCCTGAAGAAGGTAGTGCAGGTATCTCAGAGCAGACTAGGGCAGAGTTAATGCAGTTCTCTCGTTTTATTTTTTCCCCCAAGTGATGGAGAGGAGACGTGCCTGACGTCGGCCGTCTCGTGTCGAGCAGCTGCGGGCCTGGTGGGAGCTCCTGGCAAATGAGGAGCTGGAGGGCAAACATTTTTAAACGACTGCTTAACGAGGTGCCTCTCCTGACAGCTCCCAGGAGAGGACCTGGAACATCCAGAAAAACTCCTTTGGGAATAATTTCCCAGAGGAGATGACCTTCCTGCCCGGCCGTGCCCTCGTAGCTGTGACTGGAGGAGCTGGTTCTGGGCCGTGTGTTGGTGAGGGGAGAGTTTTCGAGGACGTGGGGCGCTGCTCCTGACCTTCGAAATCCCAGCGAGTAACCCCTGAGCAGCTGCTCTCCTCAGCTCCGCAGGGCTTGGAAATGAGGAGGAAGGGGGTTAACTGAATGCAGTTTTCGTGTCATATAACCAACTTGGCTGTGTTGTCACGGCATTTCATTGCATCTGATATTGTTTTGTCAGTCAAAGGACAGGCAGTGCGGGCTGAGCGTTGCCTACTGTGGCAGCAGACGATCTGAAGATAATCAGAGGAGGAAACGACAGCGTGGATGACGACGAGAAGTCAAAAGCCCCAGGGGTTACGCTCAGAAGCCTCTTCTGAGTTCCTGCCGTTGGGACTCCAGGTGGAATGCTGCTGCTTTGGGGACATGGACACTTTGGAATCGATCATGGGTGATGGCCGGGGAAATAAAAATGAGGGTTTGTGTTGCTCGCCAGGGTGGAAGCGCCGAGTCTACAGAGCGTCAGCGTTTTCACGTGTGAGCACGAACGCTGCCGCGCCAAGCGCCTGAGAAACCCCAAGTTCGCAGATCGAGCCGAGCCCTTCTTGGGGCCACCTCTGTTCAAATCCCTGCCTGAGGAAGAGGCACGGACGTCTTGGCGATAACAAAAGGAGAACCTCCCCCTCCAAGGAAGGATGCTCGCCGCAAGCCGCTGCTTTCAGACGGAGTCTCGCCGTAGCTGGCGCTTCAGGCCCCGGGATTTGCTTGGGTGGGAGGTGTTAACTCCAACATCTGAGCAGATTTGGGAGGATTCTGCTGAAACAGTGCTTCGTTTTTCATCGCTGATGCTCCTTGACTGGCTTTGAAGGTGGAATCTAGTTCACGCTGCCTGCTCTGCTGGAGGCTGAACAGGCAACGGCTTTTCTTTAAGGCTTAAGAGAAGAAAAGGAAGACAAAAAAAAACCAACCCGCAACCTGAATTGCGTTATGCTTAGGAATAATTTAAATTTCCAGTTCCTCGGTTGGCAGATGTCTGACTTGGCAGCCTGGCAGTGTTTTGTCAGGAGAGGCTCTAACCTGGTAACTCTTCTACCTCAACTAGAAGCTAATTGCTTTAAACGGAAACGATTTCCCTGCTGTTGTGTCACCATCCCTTGGAGTGGGGACACGTCCGGATGGATAAACTTGAGGCACATCTGAGTGTTTAAAGGTGTCGGAGCTCTTCGGTGTACGTCCTGACACCCCCAGGAGCCGGGCGGGAGAGGCACCGGGTGCTTGTTTGTTGAACGCCGACACGTTTCTCTTGTCACCTCTCCATTCTCTTGTGCAAAACGGATCCAAACCGGCAGAAATCCTTCGATCTGGCCACCCTGTGGCGGAGGCACAACCCCCACGGGTGAGGAGAATGAGTTAGGGCACCGTTTGATGTCAGTCATCTTGCGTTTGGCAGCTGAAGAACCTGCCCTCAAAGTGCTGGTCCTACTGTGAACGCTCTTGCTGGGTGAAGAAGCCAATTCCCATCGGCTCTGCTGGGCTGCTGAAGAGCTGTAAAAAAACCAAACAAAAACCAACCAACAAAACACATTTGGCCACTCGTTTGGTTTGAAGCTGCCGAAGCGCAAATAGGAAATGCTCCTTCAGCTTGAAAGTGACCTTGTCCGACACCGGGGAAACTTCTTCTGTTGTTATTAATACAGCGACGGATCCGCAGGAATCCCCGTCGACGTCTGGGAACCGACCGGAGTGGGCTTGGGAGTGGAAATAGAAGGGCCTGGCGGTTTGGCCTGTGTTGTCCCTAGTTCAGTCCTGCTGGTTAAGGACAGATCTGGGCTCAGGTTGGCCCCGAGGTGTTCATCACCGGTGAAAGAGCTCCTTTGTCTGGCTGTTGAGCAACTGTTCCAAAAGCAGGACTTGGGTTTGCTCCTTCCTGCTTTTATCAGCCCAAAGGCTTTTATTAGTGATATGGGGAAAAAAAAAAAACCACTGAAAGAATGCAAAATGTGAAGGGGAATAATCCGTACCTATCACAAACACGAGCCTGCAACGTCTTCAGGGGTTTGATTTCTTCGGTCTTCTGCCCGTGTGACATGAAGTTATGAGACCAAAAAGTGGATTCTGCTTTTTAACAAGTGCTGCTGCTGCTTCCCACCCCGTTCCCTGGAGCTTCAAGAGTGCAGGACTGAAGCTGGGACACCGTCTTGTTCTCTCTGGATGATGCTCTTTCCAGGAGGACCAGAAAGCTTTTCTGGTTTTTCGTTTCTGTTTTGTTTTGTTTTGTTTGTTTTTTTTTTAATCTGGAGAATTACCCCACAGCCTGATTTCTCATGCCGCCCCGGGTTAGCGTGCCAGCGCGGTGGGTGGACTCTGCAGGCTGCGACATCTCGGTACCTCGACGCTAGAAGCGAACGGGAGTCTTTTAGTCCAACCAGCACCTCTTGAGTCACGTATCCAAATCCAGGCAGGCTCAACTTCATTCCTTTGCCTTCAGCAAACCCAGTTCTGCGGCTCAGCCGGAGCCTTTTTGGCTGAGAAGCCCCGAAGCTGGTGGCTGGTCCGGCTTGTTTGCGATGAGCTCCTGGTGTTTCAGTCCCGGGAGGTTGATCCGGGACATGGGCAGCGATGCCTCGCGTGCCTTTCGCCTCCTTCGACTGCTGCAGAGCTCGGTCAATCCCGATACCGCGATGCTTTGGGATCCTTGAAGGTGTTGACTGCGCAGAGCCGCTGTGCCTGCGGTGTTTTGCGAGCCCTCTGCTATTTAACAGGAAAAGAAAAAAAGGAAAAGCCTGAAAACCAGACCGACTAGCTGTTTTGCAGACGGAGAGGGGATAACTTGCCCCCTGTCAGGTGTGCAGAGGTTTGGCAAGCCGGGTTTCTCCGCCTTTCTTTGGAGGAAGGCGCTTTGTGGTGCAGCCTGCGCGTCTGATCCTTCAACTGGGAATTGCCCCGTGGCCGTGGCTTGTTTCTGGGCTAAACCTGTGGGTCTCTTTATCCCCAGTTTCCCAGAATAAGAATCCTCACGTCATGGGAAATTGATAGAGAGTAGAGCTTGTTAATCGATTCGAATTTGCCTCGTGTTCGGGAGCGATGCCGGTTGTGTGCTGGTAAGGGATGGGGGGAGCCTGCCCACACACATTTGGATGGTTTTTGGTGACCTTTGGATGACTTTGTGCTAAAAAGGAGCTTGCAAGCTCCGCTTTGGTGTTCCTGCTCTGCCACTGTAATGTTTTTTGGGTTTTAATATCTTAAAACTGCTTTTAAGCCCCTGCTGGGAGGCTGGGGGGCAGCTGCTGGGGAGGAGCCCCTGGCAACAGTCGTCCTCCAGACCCTGTCAGCTTCTGTGTGGGACCTGGAAAGAGGACATTCTGCTTTTCCTTTTGTTTTCATGAACTGTTTCATTTTTTTTCTTTGTGCTTTTCAGGTGCTGGAGAGTCTGGGAAAAGCACCATCGTGAAGCAGATGAAGTAAGTGAGGGCACGGGCGCGCAAGCTGCGTCTTTGCACGGGGCAGAATAAGAAATCTGCCCCTCTGGGTTGGCTTGGGAATGATGGCTTGGGTTTCTTCCAGGATTATTCATGAGGATGGCTACTCGGAGGAGGAATGCAAACAATATAAAGTGGTTGTCTACAGCAATACTATCCAGTCCATCATTGCGATCATAAGAGCCATGGGAAGGCTAAAGATAGACTTTGGGGAAGTTGCCAGAGCAGTAAGTATTTCACTTATTTCCCTTCATCCGAGCCCGTGCTGTGAATTGTGTTAATGAGTCCTGGAAATTCAGTCTGTGATGCTCGGGGAGGAAACGTGTTTATTAGAAGAAACAGTAGAAAAAGACCTTCCATAATTTGTAACCCCTGGCTCACACAAAGTGTCAAGTGTTTTACTGAGGTTACAGGTAAGAAACTTCAGTGGTTTGGGACACTTCACAGAATCACAGAGTGTTGGGAGTTGGAAGGGACCTCTAGAGCTCATCCAGTCCAACCTCCTGCCAGAGCAGGACCACAGAATCTGGGGCAGGTCACAGAGAAACGCATCCAGATGGGTCTTGAAGGTCTCCAGAGACGGAGACTCCACACCCTCTCTGGGCAGCTTGTGCCGGGGCTCTGTCACCCTCACAGGAAAGAATTTCTTCCTCATGTTGAGGTGGAACTTGACGTGCTCTGGCGTGCATCCGCTGCCCCTTGTCCTGTCACAGGGCACAAGTGAAAAGAGCTTGTCCCTTCCTTCTTGACGCCCAGCCCTCATATATTTATACACGTTAATGAGATCCCCTCTCGATCTTCTCCAGACTGGAAAGCCCCCAGTCTCTCAGCTTTGCCTCGTAAGGCAGGTGTTCCAGTCCCTTCATCATCCTCGTGACCTTCCCTTGGACACTCTCAAGGAAATCCCTGTCCCTCTTGAACTGGGGAGCCCAGAACTGGATGCGGTCCTCCAGGCAAGGTCTCACCAGGGCAAAGTAGAGGAGGGAGGAGAGAACCAGTAGATTACTGGACACCCTCAGTGCAGCCACACTCTTCTGAATGAACCTTTTGAGGACTGAAGTCAAAGTCAGGGCCCTTCACTCACGTGTTAGCCCGGGCTGTTGCTGAGCTGCTGCGCTGAGCCCTCCCTGGCGTTCCCCTCGGCGCGTGTCGGAGCCCAGCCGTGATCTCAGCCTGCCTGCCGGAGCTGGAAAGAGGAAGATGTGGAAACCCCAAGTTCCTTCCTTGGTTGACCTCTGCCCAGGCTCAGCTGCCTTCGCAAAAGCAGAACCGAAGCCGAGTGCCAAGAATTCTTCCGTGTCC